TTAGAAGCCATATATATAAGAGCTGAGACAGGCAGGTGTGATACATCCCAGCCAGAGTCCTAATATACATCCCCAAATTGTAGTTGTGCAGAAGAAGGATGGAAAGATTCGTTTGTGCATTGACTACCTCCGGCTGAACTCGAAGACCATACGGGACGCCTACCCCCACCACGTATAGTCAAAGCACTCGATGCCCTGGGAAAGGCAACATATTTATCTTGCCTTGATCTAACGTCCAGCTACCACCAGGTCAAGATGGCTACAAAAGACCAGCAGAAGACAGCTTTCACCTCACCGATGGGGCTATTTGAGTTTAGCTGAAGCCCTTCGGACTCGTGAACGCGCCAGCTACATTTCAGAGGTTGATGTCAACTGTTTTTGGTGACATGGCGTTTGAGAGTCTGCTCATCTACCTGATTGACATCATTGCCTTCAGCACCATGATGGAGGAGCACGTGGAGCGTCTCAGCAAAGTGTTTGCTAGGTTATGAGAGCACGGGCTAAAGTTGAAAGCGTCAAAATGTCAACTCTTCAGAACCAGTGTGCACTATCTGGGTCACGAAGTGTCAGCGGAGGGAATCACCAAAGATCCTGGGAAGGTTTCGGCAGTGAAGAATTGGCATATCCCGAAATGCAAGAAGGATGTCAGGAGTTTTCTGGGGATCACCGCTTATTACCGAAGGTTTGTTCACCAGTATGCAAAGATTGCAGCTCCCCTTTTGCACTGATCGGAGGCAAGCTGAACACCAGAGATCCACCCTTTGCATGGACAGAAGGATGTCAAGAAGCATTCACCAACCCGATCACCGGATTAACCTCTGCACCAATACTGGCATATGCCGACTACACTCTTCCATTCTCGGTTCAGACTGATGACTCCCTTGACGGTTTTGGTGCAGTGCTAACTCAGGAGCAAGGTGGGAAAGAAAGGGTAACTGCCTGCACGAGCCGGACCCTAACTCCATCTGAAGCAAGAAATCCTGCCTACAAGTTGAAATTTAAAGCGCTTCATTGGGCTGTTACCAACAAATTTAGAGATTACCTGTATGGCAACCAGGTGACAGCAGTGACTGACAATAATCCCTTGACCTACCGGTACATGATTCCATGGGCCACGCCAAAGACAGATACTTCTGGCCAGAAATGTATTCTGAAGTGAAGAGGTACATCACAAAATGCAGACGATGCGCACTCCGCAAGACACCAGACAAGAAGACGAGCAGGTCTGCAGAGCATCAATTTTTTAGGTTTGGAGACTTCCAAGGGAGAGTACGAACACATACTGGTCATCACAGACCACTACACCCGATATTCTCAAGCCTATCCTACTAGAAAGGCAAGGACTGTGGCACGAGTTCTATGGGAGAAATTCATCTCCAACTATGGAATCCCAGAACGACTCCACTGCGACCGGGAGGGGTCAGAAAATGTGAACCCCATCATTTTCTCACAGTCTGGTCCCTATTGAAGCCAAAACAGCAAACAAAATCAATTTTAGCAAAACATCCTACGGGAGTACATGCCATACCAAGTTTTTAGGGGGTCAAAACTGAAGTGACCCCCCCCCTTCCCAGGGAAGTGAGGGAGGGGTCAGAAAATTTGAACCCCATCATTTTCTCACAGTCTGGTCCCTATTGAAGCCAAAACAGCAAAAATAATCAATTTTAGCATAAAAATCCTACGGGAGTGCATGCGATACCGCACTATTGCCCCCAAACCTATTGGGAACTATTGCTCTGCAATTGTGACTGTTTGCCCAGGTTTCGGGATGGTTCTTCAATTTCCAGTTGGACCGTCCTCACACACCACCTCCAAGGCATGTATGTTTCACAAACCGATTGGACCGTCCTCACACACCACCTCCAAGGCATGTATGTTTCACAAACCGATTGGACCGTCCTCACACACCACCTCCGAAGCATGTATGTTTCACAAACCGATTGGACCGTCCTCAAACACCACCTCCGAGGCATGTATGTTTCACAAACCCATTGGACCGTCCTCACACACCACCTCCGAGGCATGTATGTTTCACAAACCGATTGGACCGTCCTCACACACCACCTCCGAGGCATGTATGTTTCACAAACCGATTGGACCATCCTCAAACACCACCTCCGAGGCATGTATGTTTCACAAACCGATTGGACCGTCCTCACACACCACCTCCGAGACATGTATGTTTCACAAACCGATTGGACCGTCTTCACACACCACCTCCGAGGCATGTGTGTTTCACAAACCGATTAGACCGGCCTCACACACCACCTCTGAGGCATGTATGTTTCACAAACTGATTGGACCGTCCTCACACACCACCTCTGAGGCATGTATGTTTCTCAAACCTCGCAACGGACATTCTCCTCCGTCGTGAGATCTTGGGTGGGTCTGCAAGCTCACTTTGGTCCCTGTTTGAACCTCTAGACCAGGCTACTGTTCTTAATGCTTCCTTGAGAACAGTTTTCCTCCTGACGGCAGCTACAGTGCACCGCATGAGTGAACTCCACACCCTGGCCATAGGTCAAGGACAATTGTGTTGGGAGCCTGGCGGGGTCCAACTGATTCCCCATCGATATTTCCTCTCGAAGAACCAGTCGGGATATTCTCCCCACCTGACATCTTCGTTCCTGACTTAAAGTCTTTCTGCTCTGTCCCAGAGGACAAGCTCTGGTGTCCTATCCGGACCCGCGAGTGGTGCCTCCATCAGACTGCACCGCTCTGCTGTGACCACGACTCTGTTCATAACTACGGTTTCACCACATCCTCCAGCAATACAATCACTCGCTGGGTCATGACTGTCACATGACTCGTATCATCTGACTGGCTTATCCCGAACAGAGTACAGGCCCAAGAAGTTTGCAACTTGACGACCTCTTTGGCCTCTTTTTGAAAGGAGTGGCCCTTGCACCTCCTGTTACTTCAGGGATGTGCTGCAAGCTGACAGCAGAACTGTCGTGCAGCCCTCTCTACTGCCTCATCAGTGGCGCAACCGGATCCAGTTGTTCCTCCGCTGGTGCCCTGCAGTACCGACCAGTGACGGCTTACCCGATTATATTAACAGCCAATTCCTCTGGTTTACTTTAGTGGGTTTTTCTGTTGGCTTTGGGCTCACGCTTCGTTGTGGCCTGCCTTACACATAGTACAGTCATATGTCGTATGCACACCCACCTACCTAAAACAGTGCTATTCTGCATATGTAGTAATAATCTACGGGTTAGTAGAGGGCAGAAGAATCTCCACCCCCCACGCAGGTGTTTTTACTTGAGAATACTTACCTGCAGAGTGCCCACCCACCTCCCCACTCTCACGTACGCATTCACTTACGCACCTTACACTCGAGATAAGAGGAAGTTTGGCGGGCGGGCCACAATGTACTGTGAGTAATTAATCTTAGCGAATCGCTAGCACCCTCTAGGGAATAACGCATATGTAGTAATACTCTAAAGGAAAGTATTCGCTAGTAGAATCGGCCCACACCTTTGTGGAGGGGGGGGGGGATTTCTATTGTTCCTCATCATCGATCTTCTGTTTTTGCCACAGCTGCCGTTGGTTTTCCTTGATTTTCCTCCAGCCCTCGAGTAATCGAAGATGCTTTGCATGTGTCTCCTCAATTTACACAATAAACATGCACAAATAACTGTGGGGACTACACACATGTTGTCCCATGGTACTATGGGGACCAAAGACGGTATGGGGATGGCAGAAAGTCCCCATAACTCAGTCCTTATTTCCCTAACAATAAAAATCTTCCCCATATGCAGTGATGGCATTGTCCTGGCAATTGTCTAGCATTATGAAGGGGAAATAAATGTATGACTGCAAATTTCTTGGTAAATTTAACAGTTAATTTTTTTTTCCTGGGTTGTATTTGGAAAGAGAGGTCATTAATTGTCTTCACTACACTCCCAATGCTACTGAAAAGTTTAGCTTTACATTTACAGCATTAGCTTCCGATTCGGCAATGTCCACTGCAGTAAAATACTATTAAAGTCATTCTATACTGACGTGGATGTGTATGGGCAAACAATGGTGGTATTCATGTAACAGATTAAATGCAACAATCCATGTTTATGCAGAATTTGTGTGTATGAGCACATTTCCATAATTTCCCTATTAAAACCCATCACTGTTGTTTCACTCAAGAGTTGTCAGGGGTTATCCCTGTATGTAGGCCATGTATTCTAGGTTAATCCTCATTGTCACTGTTGTGTTTGTTGGTCAATAAAATGGTAATAAAGAAACACAAACGGGGATACTTTTCAGTTGGTGTTCGCTTGTATTGATTGTAAGACCAAGCCATGCTTTTATTGAGTCACAGCCATTATTACTCAACACATTACCTCTAAAGGGATTTATGTGACAGTGCCATATGTGACAAATAATGGTGTACATTTGCCTCATCTTTCGTATTCTTTGAAGTGACCTGTACAATTTGATATCTGAAAGTAAAATATTTCAGAAACAATTTTTGAGTCCTTTCTTTCCATAGCACTGAATGGAGCTCTCTACTTCTTTACCACTTGATATTATACAAGCAATGAATGTTTACAAGTGCAATAGTAAGAATAATTTCATGAGGTCATACATGGAATGTGCCAGGAGGCAAAGCCAAGTGGAATGGAACAATGCTATCTGTCACCGCATAAAATTATTCTTTCTATTGCAGTAATTTTAAACATTCATTATTGGTTTTAAACAACACCTGAATAAAGTTCTCTTCATCTGATCTGAGGCAACAATCATGTGACCGTCTAATGGAAGTTCCGTAGAACGGGACTTCTATTTTTACAATGAACTTGGGCTGTGCATTGAGAGGAATAATTAGTGACACATGATCAGTGACCCACCAGTTAGACAACTGTAAGTTATTGAGGCATTGTTAAATGGCATTAACAAAAAATATATTTGTGAATTTTTTCAGTTTTCAGTTACAGATATTTGCCATAAATTTGGATTGTTTTTGCAATTGATATACTCAATAATGACTTATTCTATTACAGCTGCTCAACCTTCTGTACGTGATTATGATATTGAACATTTGCTCCGAGAGATTGAAAGACTGAACTATGCACTACAGCAGCAGGAGAAGCACATGTCAACCCAGGGGCTCCTACAGTTTGGGGATCAACCTATAAATAACCTTAGACCCACCTTTGTTGGTGACCTGCAAGCAGGGTTGCATCCTATTCCGTATACATACACTTCACCTGAGCAGGTAAAAAAAAATTGACCACACCTTCCACATTGATAATTTGGGTTTGAATCCATCAAGACTTGTGATATCATTTGCTTTCAGTGCTCACACAAATCTGGGATCCAGGGGAGGGGGCCAATGGGGGCAGGGCGGGGTGAGGGGACCACAGGGGCACCTTCGCCCAGTAAATATTTTTAAAAATAGAGAGATGATAGAGAGAGAAAGAGAGGGAGGGGTAGGGTAACACCTTTAAAATACGTAATGTATAGTATGGTGCTTGCGGCAGAAGGGGGGGGGGGGGGGGAGGGGGCCATTACTTGCGCCCCCCCCCCCACTCTTAGCAGGTCCCAAATTAGTGTTTGCAATGGTGGCGGAATGGTTTTCAACCTGGGGGGGGGGGGGGGGGGGAGGGAGGGGCGGGGGGGGGGGGGGGGCGCATCACTGAAAAGGGGCACTTGCTCAGTAAAAGGCATCTTCCATCGGTGCAGTAGTGTATCCAGCATTTGGGGGGGGGGGGCCACATTCATGCAGAAATGTCGACACGTTTTTTTGTCACTGGACACTTGGCCTCCGTAAAATCAAATGGGGGCGGGGGTGCTCTTCAAAACCGGCCATTATGCAAAGTACGCATTGTGTGCCCATTTTCAGGGCGCATTGTAAGGGTTTAGAGGGGCTTGGTTGGTTTTCATATTCGTCGTTCATATCAGAACTAGTATTGCGAGGTTCCCTTGGTTCTACCCAGTTCCAATACGAGAACTGGAACCGCGAGTCCAATTTTTTTGAAAACCGGCTCTGAGTGCTGGAATCGGCTCTGATGGCCCCGGCTCCGATGCGTGCCGCAGGAATCGGCTCTACGCACGGACCCGTACCCGTAGTGCGCACCACTGGGTTCAGCGCTGTTTGCGATTCGGATTTTGCGAGCCGTGGCCGGGGTACATGTAAAAAAATCCCCAGCTCCATATGAGTCTCGAATGTACAGTTGCATGAAAATGAATTATTCCTATGCTTCATTTCTAAAACTTCTTTTTGATATCGGCGCACATGGTGAAAAATAGCCTGCCATACCTGCTAGATATATAAGCGGACCGCCCATGACTCGTTCGAATCAGCCGGGGTAAATTTGTACACGGGGCCGGCCGGCTCCGTCGGAGCCGATTCCAGCACTCGACCGGTTCCACGTGTTCATTGAAAGCAAGGTACCAGTGTATATGTAGCGTGTGCTTGTGCTGTGCAGTGAATCGTTATTCTCGGCTGCATGACAGTGTCGTCGCGGTAAATATTAATCATGGGAAAGAACAGAGCATATAAAGTAATAAATCTTGCAGTTTCACAGGAAAAAGACACTGTTTGAAAACAAATACATAGTAGAATGTACAGTGTATTGCACATCGAAATCCACGGAGCACAGCCTCACAAGGTGACACAGTTATTGTTTACATGTGATTTCCAGAGCTTATGTTTTTCATTGAATTTTCTGAGAGCCAGTTCCGACTCAGAACCGGTTCTTTTTTGGGAACGGCTCCAGGAAGATTGGAACAGCTCAAGCCTAATCAGAACTCTCTGTACCATTTTGGGAAGTGGTTACTGAAAAACAAACTATCAGAAATTATACGGCCAGATTTGATTTCATCTCCAAGGGGCACATTTATGCTAGAGGGGGGCCCATTTAAGAGGGGCACTTGGGTAAATCGGGGGATCGAGGGGGGGGGGGGGCAAGTATCCCCTCCAGTTCTGCGGCCCCCCGAGTGTTTGAACTGGGCAAACTTAAAAAATTTAAAAAATTTAATTCTCTAGTCTACTGTTACTGGAAATAACAGAGTTTAATTATCAATCTCAATTATCTGGAAGGCCACTATAACGAACATCGCTTTAACGAACATTTGGCTATAACAAACATCCCCTTTGGCTCCCAAAAAGGTTAATTATATTATTACGCACAATCCCCATAACGAATGACCACTATAAGGAACATTTTTTATGGCCCAATGGTGTTCGTTATAACGGCGTTCTACTGTACACTGCAGTTGCCATGGCATAAGCTGCAGCACCAGGGAGAGTGGAACATACCCCGAGAAAATTTAATATGAATGAATTGTAGGCCCCCCCCCCTACAGCGGTGTAGCTATGGGAATTTTTGAAATTAGTTTTGGTACATTGATTTCTTAAGAAAATCCCCCTCGGAATTTAGTGAAGCTGAAAAATCGCATGACTCAAAAGAGAAATATCGTGCAAAAAATTGACCTCTCTCTTCCGAAAACTTCCGTGAGGACTCATGGAACTCCATCACTCGTTCAAGCATGAACATTTATGAAATAATCGTTATCATTTTCGTTCTCACGCAAGTATGTGATGTGAAACAAACGTGATCCAACAAGGCAACCTAGGAATGATAAAAGGTCGTAAGTAACATTCGTTGTTTACCTATTACCGACTGATTTCTCATCTATTCCGAGGCAATTTTTCAGTGTTTTTGATAAACAGGTTTAATACTTTAACCCTTTAAAACAGTTTTGTACAAATACATATCCCAATAATTTTTTGACTCGCCAGCTGGGCTACTTAAAGAATAGTTTGACTAGCCCGCCTCTGTTTTGACTAGCATTTGGCTAGCGGGCTACCACTAATTTTGAACCCTGGCTATTCAGAGGAAACTGCGCGCCTCATATCTTCTACACATCAAGTAAAACATTTTTTTTTCAAGACTGCGCGATGCCTTTTCGATTTGGATTCTGGAAGCCCAGTTTTACCGCCCAAAAAACATGTATTCTTGGTAAAGAAATGAGGAAAAAATGTGTCACTTCAAGTTATTTACTTGAAACTGAATGACTTGTTATCTACTTGTGATTGATTTGTATTGTACAGGGACGGCAGAGGTGCGTACATAAAATCCTTATAAGTAACGCCACGTCAAAATCTCATCATGCTCATGTTTTAATATAAAAGGATCGATTCTACAAAAATAAACTTCAAGCACCGTGTTGTGCGTTAAATAATGACTTATATTGTTCCTGCTGACTTCCTTTTTATCTGTTGTGTCAAATTTGAAAACATTTGAACTTAAAACATAGAAGTTATGGCAACAATACTATTTTTGACCAAAAATGGGCAAAATAATAAGAAGAAAATAATGTCCTCATAACGTTAATGTGCAGTTTGGGCCAATGTGAACAAACAGATTCAGATTCAGCAGTATTGAATTAGTAAAGTTGACCTTAAGCTGACATCAAACATTTAAGACTCAAAACCATGAAAAAAAATCAGGATAAATCAAAAATGAAGGGCAAACTGCAAATTACATGCCCCCAAAAATGGGGGAGGGAGAAACTTAGATTTTCATAGTGCTGACAAGGCTAAAAACTAGGCTAAGGACAGTTGCAATGTTGCTCTTCTGTTTTAGTTTTTACTTTGATTCAATAACACTGATTTCAAATTGAATTCAGTGGGTAATTAAATGAAATGTTCAAGCATTTTCTTCTGCTCATATAGTAATCATTGATAAACTAAACTTTTAATGTTGCTGAAACATTGAGGTATGCATAGTAACCAACAGAAAGCAGCCTTACAACAATTTACAAATTATGTCCTACAAAATGAGCAAATCAGTTTTCCGAAATAAAACGGATAAAATGGACATAAAAGGGGCAGATCAGGGGCAGATCCAAGGGGGGGGGGTACAGGCCTGAGAGTTTTTTTTATGTCCAAGTGACCTAAGTTCATTTTTATTGTAAAACGTTCGTGAAAAGGGCTTTTGCAAATCAGTGCTGAAATGTGGACAGGTTTTTTCTCCGGACACTCGACCTCCGTAGAAATGAAAAGTGTGTGTGGGTTTGTTTATGGTGTAATTCGAGGACACACATACATGTGCAACATCATCGGTGAATTGAGGACAGGAACCAAATCGAGGATGACCTCGATTAGAAACTTGTACAAAACAAATGAGAGATGTTGTCAAAAAGTTAAGAGTATAAACAAAGGAAAAGGGAAGGGAGAGGAACAAAAGAAAATCCTTGATTTACACCTAAACAAACGTGTATGTGTGTGGAGGGGGTATTCACATCACACAATAATGCACACTATCGGACCAAAACAAATGTGCAAATACCTCCCTTACCCAACGCTCACTATGCCTCTGTGTCTGATTGTTTCGGACAGGCAGACATATAGGCAATAGTTATTACTATAATTGTCATAATTAATAATGGGCCCAGACCCCACGCCAAAGGGCTTTGTGATCTGCGCTCGCATGTGTCAGTCCTTGAAAAATGCATCTTTGCTATTATTTAACCCAGGTTGGAATATCGGTTCCAGCACCCCCTGGCAAAAATATTTACTAAATCACTTGCCGTTTGCTCAAAATGAGATGGCTTCAAAAGTGCTTTGCCCCCACTTTAAAGGGAAGATACAACATTTACAAACATAAAAAAATGAAACGATCACATTATCACAAAATATCTCACTGGATTGTTAGGGAATGGCAGTCTAAAGCATCCTGTTAAATCGTAGCTGCTGGTGTGCTGACATTTTCAAGAAAAATTGTATTTTTCCAACGTTGGTTGGCCGACCAGCATTGGAGAAAGCTGTTTTTTTTTATTCCGCATTTTGTTTGCAATTGATTACACACCTGTGAAGGAGTACAAGCCTGCTAGACTGATTCTCTGACCTTACAATTCCCCGAGGTCTATACATTGCTCAGTTCGCTTGCAAACCCCATTTTGGGTATGCCCCTCATCTAACGAAATTCTGGATCCAAAATCCATGCTTAGTATCAATGGAACTTTCTTCCCATCTCTAAAACAAAACAAATTTTCATTGTTATTACTCAGTTTCTTTGTATATGGGTGACCACAAGTGTGGAATTATCCATAGTAGGCGTCAGATTATTAAATGGTATGTTGTTTAATAAAATCTCTGTTATGAGTTGTTCCTTTATTTTTGCAATTATGGCATATGCCACCCATACTTTCATCATCATCATCTTTCTTCAGTACCCCCACATAGGACATAGCTTGCCTACCGCGCCTCTTCCTGCCATGTTTTGGGCTCCCACAGAACCATCTAATGGGCTGTGAGATCAGGGTGGCACTGACAGTGCCCCGCGAGTCACACCCATACGTTGCTAACTACTTTTTGGTAAAAAAAACAAAGTCTGGATGTGGTGTAGCAAAATACAGGTCCGTAAAAACAAATGGAATTAAAATCCCTTCTGTAAACTATTCTTATTGCACTGTTCTATTGCAGCCTACAGGAAAAGCTGCGGACCATTTGCAATCCCAAACTTCACCCATCCGTACATATCAGCAATACCTATCACCAGCCTCTACCCATAACACAGTTCAAGACTTCCCAACAAACCAACCAACAGATCAACAGCAAGAATTCCCGCAATCCTCTGGACATACAAGGCCTGGTAGGATATTATCCAGTGTTGCTTCAATGATGCAACCAGTTGGTAACACATATGGACAACAACAGGCTGCAGATACCCAGACAAGTTATGTACATGTCCCTGTTCTGCTGGCTAATGCCCAAACATTTGGAACTACAGAAGTACAGCAGCAAGTGGCATTGTACCAGGAACAAAAGGTGGGCTACAACTTTATATTATAATTATTTGATGAAACCTCGTACACATTAATGTTGAATGCACTTCTGTCATCTGTCATCATGGTTATTTAAATGATTTAAAGTGTCATTTAAGTAATTAAAATATCACTAGATATTTTTTGTGTGTTACACATTAAACCCAAATACCTAAAAACTCTGTTTATCTCGAGGGGGGGGGGGGTCTTAGCATATTTTAAATGGGGGCGCTGTTCAAATCAATTACTCAAACTATATTACAAAATAGTGTACAAATACCCCCTAACCCAACTAGTCTGAGTATCACCCGCTATCCACGGAGCAAGTCTCCTGTATATCGTCTGATATGTCTAGACATGCAGATAAATGCAAGCCACGCGCCAGCCAATCGGAGTCGACTTTACTTAATTGTGATGTCATTTCATTCCTAAATTGGTCAATGATTGGTCAATTCGAATGCACTGTTTTGTAATACAACAACAGCTGGGCACGATATCGCGTAAAATGATACAGAGCACGTGAGACATTTTTTGTAACCATTATGTACGACACGCAACGGGGTGACTGACTGAAGACCCGATATTGTTGGTGTACCCTAACATGGCGTGGCCCCTAACATGGCGCATGTTTATTTTTCGCCTGTAGGGCCTAGCTAGAGCAAAAGTTTTAACTGAAATTTCACAGAAACTGAAATTTCATCAAGTTCTTAACACTCCGGTTCATAAATAACGAGTTTATCTACCCGTTACAAAGTTAGAAGAAAAATTTATTTCGGCGTGATTTTCCAATTTTATTTTGAAGTGCACAGTGAACCCTTTGAAAATGTTCCCAAAAAATTAGAAAATAATTTTCTGACAAACTTCTAGTTGGGTGTGAAAGTAGACATAAATATGGTTTATCAGAATACATTTACAGAAATTCTTAAATGTTTATTTCGATTTTCGGAGATTTTTTCAAGCGCGCTACGTTGTGGAACACTCAGCCGATTTGTGCCCAATTTTTGGATGCCACCGTTTTTGAACTTCGGATAAAATTTCATGACATCGAAATTATTCACAGAGGTTATAAATAGCAAGCATTAATAGGCTAAAAGTACCAGTATTTTACTGAATGAAATTGAAGTTTGTCAACAAAGAAGTTTGGCGACACTGATGTGGAAAGTTGGGGTAAACGTTGGAGTGTGCCACGTTAGGGAACACCACTATATAGAGAGTGGCCGCTGATTGGTCAAAATCTAGGAGGTCAAGAGGCGGAGTCTTGCCTAATTAATCGGCGAATCTGTTCACGCATTCGCCGTGGTCTATTAAATAGACTTATTTCACCGTGGTCTATTACATAGACTAATTTTGTTCACAGGCAGACTTTATTACCAGTATATTTTTGGGGGGATGTCGTAGCAGGGGATCCCCCCCCCCAGGATCCTCACCTGATATCCCTGTACTTCAAAATACCTGCACTGGTACCGGTACCGGTATGTTTAACTCAAACTTTTGTTTGGCCAGTCCATAGCAAACGTTGCCAAACAGTCACACAAAGAAACGTATAAGCAACATCCCAAAACTTTTGTCATGACTCATTACTGCCCAACGGACTTGGTCTTTTCACGTGGGGATGCAGCTTGCATGCAGCATTGTAATTGGACATCCAGCACGTAACTGCAACAAGTCCTGGCTTTTGAGTAAGCCCAAGCACTACCACTGGCCCAATTGTGGCCCGCATGTCAGCAGTCCAATCAATAGCTCTTTGCTGTGGCCATGTGACCGCATTAGAAACTGCTGAGGATGCACACGAGATAGCCCAGTTGCAAGTGGTGCACCATCTATCTATTAAATAGGACCGGCCATGCGACCGTGTCGCCATGGGCGTCGCGAGGGGGGGGCAAGGGGGGGCACTTGCCCCCCCCCCTGGAAAAGCAAAAAAAAAAAAAAAAAGGAAGAAAAAAAAAGAAAAAGAAAAAAGAAAAGAGGCGCGAAGATAAAGTGGTGTTAAATTTAATGAGTGGGGGGGGGGCAAATGTCCCTGCCCCCCTCTAAAACTGATAAATCGTGAATGGTTGAGGAAAAACAAGCATTTTTTTGCAAAAAAAATTTTT